AGGTTGTCGGCACTTGTCAGAGTCGATCCATGGTCTGCTCCGAGAGCTCTCTCTCTACCTGCCGATGCACGTCGACAAAAACCTTTCGCTTGGTCATACTTTTTCAGATCAAGAAGCGTTTCGCCTAGCATATTCATGGTATCGAGGGTAATAGGATGGTCGGGTCCCAGAGCCCTCTCCACAGCCTCCAGGGCATGGCGATACATAATCTCCTCTTCTACAGGGCCTTTCTGATTAAGCGAAGCAACGTCCGGGTCACCGATCCGCGGTAGGACTTCTAGGTGAGGCAGCTCGAGTACCATATCTCGACTCGCTGGTACAATTTGATGCCCCATCTCGGCTACCTCTGGCTTTTCCGGGCTATGTAGCTTGGCACTAGTAGTCGCCAAGCTAGGTGGAGCACCTGGATCATCTGGCAAGATCGTCATCTCGCTGCCTTCTACTGCCTGTTGATGCGTAGTTCCTGCTCCACCGCTCTTTCTCCGAATCCGCAGCAACAGGGCCAAATCATGGAAACTTAATAAGGTATCCAGATGGTCTTTCCCAAGAACCTTCTCCCTACCCACCAAAGCGCGTCGGTGCATAGTCTCCGCTTCGTCGTACCTTTTCCGGCGATTCAGTGTTTGGCCCAGGTCACTGACACTCCGTAAGGTATCTGGGTGGTCTTCCCCAAGAACCTTCTCTCTACTCGCCAAAGCACGTCGATGCAAAGTCTCCGCTTCGTTGTACCTTTTCTGGAAATGCAGCGTTTTGCCTAGATTACTGACACTCAGTAAGGTATCCGGATGATCTCTCCCAAGAGCCTTCTCTCTACCCGCCAATGCACTTCGGTGCACGATCTCCGCTTTGTCGTACTTTCTCTGCTGATACAACGCCACACCCAGATTATAGACACTCCATAAGGTATCCGGGTGATCTTCCCCAAGAGTCTTCTCCCTACCCACGAGAGCGCGTCGATGCATAGCCTCCGCTTCGTCGTACGATTTCTGGAGATATAGTGTTTGGCCCAGGTTACTGACACTCTGTAAGGTATCCGGATGATCTCTCCAACGAACCTTCTCTCTACCCACCAAAGCGCGTCGATGCATAGTCTCCGCTTCGTCGTACCTTTTCTGGCAATTCAGTGTTTGACCTAGATTATTGACACTGTCCAGGGTATTCGGGTGGTCTTTCCCAAGCGCTTTCTCTCTACCCGCCAACGCACGTCGATGCATAGTCTCCGCTTCGTCGTACTTTCTCTGCCGGTTCAGCGCCACACCCAGATTACTGACACTCCGCAAGGTAGCCGGATGGCCTCCCCCAAGAGCCTTCTTTTGATGCGCCAGTGTACGTCGAAGCATAATCTCCTCTTCATCGTACTTTCTCTGATCATGCAGCGCCACACCCTGCCCATCGACGTTCTGTAATTTATCCTGATGCTCTCTCCCAAGCATCTTCTTCCCGACCGCCAATGCACGCCGATACATATCTTCTAATTCCTTGCAAATCCTCTGGCCTACCCGGATGTGCCAATGTTCAGGCCCCGCTCCTCCTTTATTCCTAGATTGTACAGGACTCGTGGCTTGAGGTGAACTCGCCGTATTGGAAGCAAATTCCCCAGTCTATTCCCCGGGTCACTGCTGGTCCGTATCGCTAAAGTACGGTAGACCCCCCGTGCGACTCGAGGGTACTCTCGTCAAGGCTCTATATAGAGCAAATCGCTGGCCCCAAGGGACTGCACCCGGGACCACTAGTCTTTAGCTTTAGACTCCTCCGACAGTCCTTGTAAGGGCTACACTTACTCTGTTCACACACCTAATCTACCCCCTGTCTTTCTCTTCTCGCCTTCTCACTCTTTTTCTTGCGGCGACTCCTTCCTGTCCCCGCTGTTAGACTCTCGCTTGACCTGCGGGTCTTACCGGGCTAGATCCACCAGCACTAAACGTCAGATGTGGGTGGGGTCTGCATTAATAGAGAGAATCAAACCCGCGGTATTCTGAATAAAAAATTCGAGACACTTCGCATATAGCAGCTGGTATCGCAGTTATCGCATGATACCGAGTTTAAACGTGAGATGGGCGCACTCGACACGTCAATGTAAGGCTGAGGGTTGAGATGAGGTGCGGGCCAATCAAGACCAGCCAGTAGGTGATACGTTGCTCGCGTAAGCAGAGAAGTACCGGTACAGGACTGTACTGTACAAATACAGTCGTGTCCGGAAAGTTTTAGTACCCCTGAGGTGCAACCCCACAACACCTCATCACCACAACAACCCTCCTCACCATGGCCCCTCCACATAACCTAAGAGCAAGAGAAGACCTGAATAAGGAAATTTATACTCTGTATAAACATACAGATATGGGATATGACAATTTCTAAGTCTTTAGGTGTATCCAAGTCAACTGTTCAGTCTGTGGTCAAAAGAGCTAAATCTAGGTGTAGAAACACTCACCATGCAAAAAGAGGTGGAAGACCAACCAAGATTACCGACATAAAAAGAAAGACAGTGGAGTCAGTTATCGATGCTGAGCCTCATTTAGCATTACGCGACATTACCAAAAAAGCGAGTATTGGTCTTGGTAAAACCACTATTGATAAAATCATATCAGAAGGTGGTTTTAAGCTTCTAATACCTAGGAAAAAGCCTTTTTGGAGAAAAGGACAAAAGGAGAAAAGAAGGGAGTTTGCTAGGAGAAGGAGGAACTTGAAAGGGGCATGGAATTGGGTTGTTTTTGTGGATGAAGCTACCAATGTTTATGATCCAAATCCAACAGGTAGAAAGGTCAGAGTTAGACCTGGTGAAGAGCTGGAAGAAAAAAACTTAAAGCCTAGCTTTAAGTCTGGAAGGACTAGTATTGGAGTATATACTGCAATGATGAAGGGTGAAACATGTTCGCAAGATGCTAGTCACATTATCGGTAATAGATACGATAGTTGGCAGGTGGCCTGCTGTTCCAGAGAGGAGGCAAGAGCGGAGAACTAAAGGAGGCTTTGAGGGTGTACTGAGGAACAGAGAAGTAACTGTTCAACCAAGTAAATTGAATTACTGTCTGTTGAAGTCTGCCTTTTCTATTGTAGAAACAGGCAGTCTTTAAATACACAAATCTGTTCATGTCTAGCATGAACGAAACTAATCAAAGGTATCAATCAATACACTTTGATAAAACTAATAAAGTATCAAAGCGATACTTAAAACAAAACAAAAAACAAAACCAAGTATCAAACGATACTTAAAACAAACCAAGTATCAAAGTGATACTTAAAACAAAACATAAAACAAAATGAATAACCAAGTACCCGTACCGGTTACATTCTCCAAAACAAAACAACTGTTTAAACAAACAAAACCTAATAATCATCAAAAGTGAAGTCTGAGAAACTAAATGCTTCAGTTTCTGCTATCAGCTCTTCATCATAAGTGTCACACTAGAGACAAGAAGAAAACCTAAGAAAACACTTAGACTTAAAGACATGTAGGTCACAGTAGTCACGAATACCAGATTCATGCTGTACATCAAGCCAGGCGTTATCGCAATCTGGACAGTAGTCTATTCAGAGAATTTCGAAATAGTCTTCAAGTTAGATAACATCGCGGTTCAACAACAATCCAATAATCTGTTATCGTAGCCTGACATTAAGTTCCACATAGTTTGATATCGTTATGGTATTTGGATGGAGGATAGTAATTAGATGAGGTTATCGAGAGCCTGTTCTATAGCCTGATTTTCCTCATCGCTGCTCTTGAATTCTGATTCAAAGTAAGGTGCCCAAAATCTATCTCTAGCTTCGAGTTCCATCTGCCATTGCTCAGTCTCTGGCATCCTTGGTGTCCAGTACATTGTGATGTAATTTATCGTTGGATGGAGGGATTCATTTGGCATGTTGTCTTTCCACCATTCGTTTACCATATCTATAGCATGCTCTAGTCCTTCTAGTGGCTCTCAGCTATTTTCGCTCGTTGGGTATCCTTTCCATTTGACCAGAAACTGATCATTCCCATGCCAAAGGCGGTGGTCTCGGATTTTGTCAACTTCCCATTCATCTTTCTTATCAACAATGATAGATGCAGGTCAAGAGTAGGTTCTTCCAGGGAACTTGGAGTCGTTATTTGGGTGGAATCACATGACAGCAGAGGTGTAGAAGACTGCAGTATTGCAGCGGTACATGTATCTATCTATCTGGACAGTGTAGTTTTCTGTATGCTCATCAAAGGATAAGACCTTGGGGTCCTTGTAACCGGTATGGGTACTTGGTTATTGGTTTTGTTTTATGTTTTGCTTTAAGTATCGCTTTGATACTTGGTTTGTTTTAAGTATCGTTTGATACTTGGTTTTGTTTTATATTTTGCTTTAAGTATCGCTTTGATACTTGGTTTATTTTAAGTATCGTTTGATACTTGGTTTTGTTTTATGTTTTGTTTTAAGTATCGCTTTAATACTTTATTAGTTTTACCAAAGTGTATCAATTGATACCTTTGATTAGTTTCGTTCATGCCACATGTGATCAGATTTGTGTATTTAAAGACTCCCTGTTTCTACAATAGAAAAGGCAGACTTTGACAAACAGTAATTCAATTTACTTGGTTAAATGGTTACTTCTTTGTTCCTCAGTACACCCTTGAAGCCTCCTTTAGTTCTCAGCTCTCACCTCCTCTCTGGAAGAGCAGGCCACCTGCCAACTATCGTATCTATTACCGATAATGTGACTACCACCTTGCGAACATGTTACAGTCCTCACCATCGGGGTTGTAGTTTCTTGCTGCATCTAACATTGGTAATGAACATGTTTCCATGTACCATGAGCATATCACCTGGTAGGATAGGGACATGTTTGCATTGTCGCTTTTGAGCAGTAGTTGTGCTACGGAATCAGGCAGCTTTAACAGCTTGGAAGGCATCATTCCGAATTGCTTGATGGCGGTTCAGTTGGTCATCGGAGGCAGGGACTGAC